ATGTCCTGTTGCGATTCCTTTAGCCGCGCTAACTCTTTCTTCAATTTATTTTCTTTTAACTTTCTCGACGTTTCGAGATCCTTGAGGTTCTTTTGAGATTTTTCCAACTCCTCTCTCTGGATATGATTATCCTCTTCTAGCCACTGTCGCTCTGATTGCAGGTTGTTAATCACTGCAGCGTGTTGCGCTATGGTAGCTGCTTGTTGGTTCACAATTGCTACAAGCTGCTCATAGCTGTACACATACATCTGTGCCATCCTTAAACGACGGAATCTTTTAAATGTACTAAAAAAATCTTTTCTTAGAAAAAAAATCACTTCACCGCTCTATATAATCTTCCGCTAACTTTCAATCACGTTCGTCTTCTTCCAAAAGTGAGGTTTTAATGATGTTAGTGATGTCATAAACAATTACCCTCACTTGTAAATTTCTTTTGCGCGCGCGCTAGCGCGCACTGGCTTTTCTAGAGCTGCGATACTAATGGTCAGCACCAGAACATTTGTGGAGAGATCACACCCGACGTCAAGTGGCCGCTTATTAGAGGGTTTAAAAAAAACGGTGAACCTGAAAAGTGGTCGCGCTCACACTTGGAGAAGAGATGTTTACGAGAGGTTCTAATTCTGGAGTTTTATTAGGAAAATTTTGGAGTTTCGGAAAGGAGGTTTGTTATGACAGGTGATCCCTTTCGAGATGTGGTCGCACATGAAGGTTCGAGTGTATGAAATCTTCCTAGTTAAAAAGTGCACTTAGCACGAAAGTATTAATTAAGGACATTATTTGTACCATTGGCAGCGGGCAGCGGATCCAAAGGGTGCGGGGGAGACTTTTTGGTGTCGAAAAGCGCTGGGAAGTAATAGATCAAAAACGAGTGCGAGTGCTTGACCGGGGTATCCAGACACCGAGAAACAGATGAAAGCATGAGGCCGTAGGCCGAGTGCTTTTATTGTTTCGAGTATCAACTGAACAGAATCCTGTTTCTCCAACACGGGTTTATCCTCCATGCAATCAGCGATGAATGGTTCTAATTTTCTTCACGATGTTTTTGCAGGCGTTTCTGGGGAAAAGGGGAAAGATGGAAGCGAAAAAGGGAGAGAGCAAAACTCCTCTCCCCTATCCCCTTAGGAAGGCCTGATACTCAGGCTACCTCTGTTGGTGTTTGGGCGAACCCTTTCTGGGGCCTTTGAAGATGACTCACGATGTAGCTTTTGTAAAGAGGAAAGGCTTGTGATGGTGCAAAGGCTGAAGAATTGTCGCATCGCTGGACCGACTTTCTTAGCAATCGGCGTTTTTTTGTGGATGACTACCATTATAGTGTATACTCGCACCCCGAGAAAGGACCAGATGTTGGACAAGTTATAACCATACCGATAAAGCTCTGTAATGTGTTGCCGCGGCCCTAACTGAAATATACCATGGTGCTGGTTACTCATAATCACTCCGTCTTCATTTAGTAATACTATATTAGCCCCTGAAAGAGTCGTGTTGGAGCTCATACGATACTCTTACTTAATGAGAACTGTATCGAGAGACAATTTAAAACTGTATAGAGTCAGTATATCAACATTGTTAAGAACACAGCTACCTTGAAGATCTGAATGAAAGTGATCTTTGAGCTAACTTATCTATTGGCCATCCAATGGCAAATAGTGAACCCGCGCACGGACTGAAATCAACCAGTAAGGGGGTCTAAACTCTAGTGAAAACGATTATTTAGTTGAGCCAAAACAAATGTATAGTTCATGAAATTTTTTAACATTCTCCAAAAATGCCACAATTCGATTTTCATTTTACATCGCTTTATTTCAACATCAAAGAAATCGGCCCCTGACATCATGCACAGCCAGAAAAAAAAAGAAACAAACAAGCAAAGAAAAATAACAATTAAACCCTGATTATGTATATTCCGCAGAAATCTTTATGCATTGTTCTCTCTCGCGGTACTGAAGTTGTAGTAGTTGACGTGCAGAAGTACATTGTGCATGATGAAGTTATTCCTCCTTTAATTTTATCCTCACCACAAGAGAGACCTGCACTTGAGCTAAAATGTGGATCAGTTCCGGTGTTAGCAGGAAATGAAATATCGGCTGCGGAGTCACAAAACTTCCCATTAAATGACCTAATCTGTTTACCACAAAAAGAAAAGGCATTTCAAGCCTGCCTTTTAGCTGCTTCCGAAAGTTCACACGGTGTAACTTTAATGAAATACAAATCTCTCCAAAAGAAGACATGAAAAGTACTTCTCTGTTTTCAATTATTAAGGCAAAATACCAACTACAGCCTTACGGTACCGACAAAGAAAAAATTGAATATAATTATTTATGTTTCCGGTCAAAAAATTTACCTTGTTTGAAATTTTATTTCCTTTTCCCAGGGAATGGTAAGGACCTCAAAACAAGTTCAAATCAAAAGAAAACAAAAGAAACATGACAGAACATGTATTTTGTTAAGATGCTCTGACACAGACTTTATGCAGACGAGGGAACCTTTTCTTTTTGTGGGGTGGAAATAGGGAGCAAAAGTGTTTTTGAGCGACGCGTGACAACCGGAAGTGGAAGTACCTTTTTTCCTTTCAACATACCCCCAAGCTAACAAATTTGTCTTTACTAAGTGTCTTTACTCTCATCATGAGACACGATTTGCCTGAAAATTTGGGCAAACCACTGCCCAAGAATAAAACAATCTCAAAAACTCGGCTTTGTTCCAGGCTTTGTTTCAGCTCCCCATTGTGACGTCCTAAACGTAACCAGAGTTAAGATAGAATTCTACTAAAAGAATCAAGCCGAATTTCATTTTAAGGCGCGCTGGACAACCCGCAGTGGGTGCTGGGTGGCTGGAGGTGGTCATCTTGTTTTGAAAAGGAAAACCACCGAAGAGCAATGACGTAGCTACGTCACAGCAAGTCATAGCATAGAAATTAGAAAAGCTGAAAGCTTTATTAAGTAACCTTAAGCCAGCTGGAACCAGTTTTTAACTAGAAGTGATTATTACGACTGGCACCGTTTGTTGTAGCAATATGTATCGACAGGATTTTGCTTTCCCGAGAGGGGTTTTTATTGACCAAAGATACGGACAGTCAGGACAACGTAGCGTGGCCGAATCCTGCAAGATAGTTGTTCTCCCAACTCTGCTTTCCTTCACGATTATATTTTTGTTCGTTGGTTTTATCTTGACCATGGTTGGAAATTTTGCGAAACCTTCCTGGGGCCCTGAAGATGACTGGTGTGGCTTCTGTAAAGAAGACAGGCTTAAGACGGAGCGAAATCTTAAGAAATGTCGACTCGTTGGGCCAATTTTCTTGGGGATCGGCGGTTTATCTTTAATTGTTACCATAGCGTACATTTGCATCCGGAGAAAGAACAATACTGGACAAGGTATAACCAGACCGAACACTGGTCAAGCAGCGGGTTCAACAACTCAAGGACGATCGGGCAATGTGACGACCACCACTCAATATCCTAGCCCCTATGGCTTTCAACAGCCCGCCTATGGACAAACGCCCGAGTATCCCTCGGGATTAGGACCTTATACCTCAACACCCGCTGGATATGCATCTTATCCTCCATCGACTCAGTACCCCTATAATTCTTCACAGAGTGGTCCACAGGCACTATCTCCAACAGAGATAAATCCACCCCCATCGTATGAAAGTATTGTTGGCCAAAATAACTCTGCTCCAAGTGCTCCCCCAGAGACGCAAGTTTATTAAAAAGAGATGAAAGAATGAACGGTCAGATTTTACCGCTTGTTTTCCTTATGTTGTAGTGATAAATACAGTAATTTAGATTTCAAATAATGTTGTCATTGACTTCAGCTATATACGGCTATCTCGAGGAAGGTTGTTGGAAAAAATGAGCACGCGACAATCCCGAAAAGTAAAACGGGATATGATCAATACACGGTGCCTGACACTATAGTTAGCTGTCGAACCTACTTTTGTTGCTTTCATTTAGCACTCGCAGACCTACATCCATGGCCTCTCGTGCCATTCTTTCAAATTTCTCTGAAGAATAGTAACCCAAAAACCATCCACAATTATACCTTTCGGGATTGTCGCGTGCACTTTTTCCAAAAACGTTTCTCGAAATAGCTGTATACGCAAAAACGTGCGTCTGATGGCCTAGTACGTATCAATGAACATCTCCGCGTGATCGTGAGTTGTTGCGCGGAAGTTAAAACGAGGGCCAAAAAAACGGGATTTTGAGGGGGAAGGGGAGGGGAGGAAAGTGACACTCTTCGCTCTTGATAAAGTCGTCATAGACAGTAACACCGGATTGCAGCGATTGAGCTGTCACTGTTTACTTTAAGATGCAACCTATATATCTATGTGCTAATGTGGAGGACGGATATGATTTTCGGGCATTGTAGACCGCGAACAGGGTATTGAAACAAGAGACAGATTAATTTTTTTCGTATTCATGGTTAGTGAATTTATAATGAGCAGTAAAACTGGTCTGCTTGGTGGTAAAATAGAATTAATTTAGCGTAGAAAAGGAACTGAAGCGGTAGCAACTAAATGTTAGAGAAAGAAACTTACATACATGCAAAAGAAAAAAGAAAGATTATGGCAACGTCTAGTAGATATTAGAGTTTTGAAGGATTTTATTGGTGAAGTAAGTGGCTGAGTTTGTCATGAATCAGAGGAATAGCCTAGTACAGTTTGAAACCGATCTTTATAATTACGGCTGAGTGGTATCGACGTCTATCGAGGACAATTTTTAAAAACTGTATATCAACACTTCTGTAAACCAGATCACAGTATATCGAATCATACCTTTAAGATATACCGGCTAAAGCGTCGTAAACACTGTGAAGTCGTTGGCAACGTGGACGATACATCGTTTCAGAGAAGGAGGTTACATGCTAGACTCCAACATACCGTATTTATTCGATTAAGCGCCCTGGGCGCTTATTAAATTTTTGGACCTTGAGAGTGGGCTCTTATTCGAAGCTGGGCGCTTATTAAAATTTCACCATTTCCAGCAAGTTTAGGATGTTTATTTTGCAACAAACCAAAAAAGATAATAACAAAACGCGAAGATGTAACAAATCAAGTTTCGGTAAAATACTCTGAAGGAAACTCCGTCTTCGGGGAAGTCTCTTATTAGTACTTATTCATTTTGTTGGGTGGGAGGGGGAAGGAGGGCTTGCTTACTGAGTTAGAGTCAGGAAGGGGGAGGGGTGGGCGCTTAGTAACTTTTTCTGCCTTTTAAACGGGCGCTTATTCGAGGTGGGTGCTTATTCGAGGTTGGGCACTTATTCGGATAAATACGGTATGTGGAAGGCCTTAAATAACATAGTTTGTCTTAAGATACCTGACCACATTTTTTATTGGAAGGGTAATTATAAAATCATCCGCCTGTGAAGTTCATTCAACCCTCCGAATTAGGAAATACTTACAAGTTTAGTTTCTTTGCTAGAACAATTAATTAAGGACTGGAATAATTTAAGTGATTCTGTGATTGAATTTGAATCATATAATGGCTTCAAACGAGCCGTGAGTAATTTAGTCATCTTATTTGTTATAACAAGAGTATAGATGATGGTTTTTAGTATCATTTATAAGAATTTAATTAATTTATGATATATTTATAAGTAACTCGACTATTTAAATTGTATCATGTGTATTGTTTAAATACTAATGCAGTTTCTCGTTGCTTTTCATTATTTCAATACTGTAAGCTCCTGCTGACCATATCTATGTAATGGGAAACGTTAAGGATTTAAGTTGTAGACAGGGGTGGGGGAGGGGGAGGTAACTCTTTTGTTTTCCACCTAAGTTTCTTGACCCACTCTGCCTGCCAGTATGACGTCACATAGTAACGGGCAAGAGCCTTGGGCTGCTTGTGCAAATTAGCAACAGATACGACAGTTATTTGGACGAGCGAGGTCGAGGAAAAGCTAAGAAGCTAGCAAATATCGCTATATATCGCTAATTTGATCGAATTTGTGTGAGCTTTGGTGTTGCTGTAATCTGCTTGTGTAAACCGTTTTGATATTTTTTTGTCCGTGATTGTATAATTTTTGTTTAATTTGTTTTGTGGGCCGTGTTGCGGGATCGCTATCTATTTCACGGGACCGGCAAGATCATCAAAACTTAAATGTATTTTTTTTCTCTAAAATAGGCAGGGTCTAGTCTCCAGAATAGAAGGTTCCATTCACAGATCACGCATGTTTATATTTCATCTATTCTTTATGCTAATTAAATGGGTCTAACTTCATATCAATCCTTTCGAGTGCGGGCCTCTGTTGATCTCCCAATTCTCCACCAAATTCAGTAAAGCTAGTTCGATCGATTATCTACATCGAGTAGACCCGTTGAACCCAAAATAATGCGAAATAGCTTTGAAATACGGGCTTAAGCTAATTTTCCTCAAATCTATATTTGAATTCATGATAAATACAGCTCCACCAGCTTCCAACAGCGTCCATGGCAGAGAAAAATTGTTTTGATATGACAAAATTAATTTTTCAAATCATGTGTGTCAGTGTGATGCCGTGGTCAAGGAGTTGCTTGCACGTGCAGATAACCCGGGTTCCACTCCCGGCGACGCTGCATTTTTGCTGTGTCTTTATACCGTTTTTTTTTCTGTTTGGTCTCTTTTTTTAACACTTTTTTTCCTTTTGGCCTTTTTTTCTTTATTCTTACTGCTGACCCTGCTGGTCGAGAACTTGAATCAATATATATTTTAAGCTTAAGTCCTGAGTTTTATTTTGGAAAAGGGATTTCAAAAGCTCTTGATCTGCATACTGGCCAAGATTACGATCAGATAAAAACCATAAGCAGTCAAGACATGTCCCTCCGCTGAAACAGCCGAATTTTTTTCAATGTTGGTTGAGATCATGACAAACAACACACAGTCGCACCACAAACTGTACTAATTTACACCCAACACCCACCGGGGACCCACTGGTGAAAGTTAAACTTCCCTTTTGTACATCGTCTTAGTCATCAATATTATTACCCTAAAATCTCCACTGGGTTTGCCCCCAAAAAATAATTAAACGAAACCTTTTATTGGTTTTCGGGATTTTATTACAGAACTACAGGTGTATGCCCAATACAGTATTAAAATGCGGTAAAGCAACAAGATTCAATGCTCACAGTCTCTCACCAATACCTGTCATTCAGCTTCCTCTTTCAAAGCTACAGCTAAGCGAACTTTGAGAAGAATGATATGGGCCGGGGTACCACTAGCTCTGAAGAGCTGAAAATACGCACAATGTAAAGTATAATACATCCTTTCATCAACCTTCTATTGCTGTGTCTAAACTCCTCAATCTTTAACCCTTTAAACCCTAACATCAAAATTCAAATTCTCATTTGTTATCCCTATACGTTTTCAATAGAAATAGTGGGGAGAATTTGTTGAAGTATCAATTACATTCATCTTGTGTGATCATGTCCTTAATTCTCATGACCACTCTGTTTTATAAAGCATTGATATTACATGGAGAAATTTGACGCTGATCACTCTTAGGGCTTAAAGGGTTAAAATTCATTACACCACTGGACATTTCATTCCAACAAAGTACCTAAGTCTAGTTTTCTATGACAATAGAAACCTTAAAATCTCCAAATCCAAGAAATCGGAAAAGTATTTCCGTGATAAAATCGAAATTTTTATCCGTCTCTTTGATGAACACTTTGCTCGCCATTTTGAAAGTCACTGACTCGAGACGTGACGTCATACTGGCAGGCGGACTGTACTACAGATTTCCTTGGAGACACCTCCTCCCCCCCCCCCCGGTTGTAGATGTATAGTTTTAGAAAATGAATTAGGGCGAGAGCGAAAAAGGGTATACACATTATATCTACGTATAGTCTGCTAAGAAACTTCAATTTCTGGCTTTGCCTATTTTCACTTTCGCTCAGCAGTAATTAAAAGAAATAACTTCCAAAAATTTATCAAACATCGACTGTGCGAACAATGTCCTAAGAGAGGCATGTTTAGAGAATGCAAATAAACCCTTGGAAAACCACTAAAATGACAACAATGAAACAATGCTAAGCTATAAGTGACAAAATATCAAAGATACAAAATTATAATTCAAATCCACAAATTCACTATCAAGATCGATACAATTAGCATCAACTTGCTCTTTGAATGTGTCAAGATTGTAGAATTTATTTTTAATTCCCACGTGTCTCTTGTCATGTATCAAGAATACGTTTTTTAAATAAAGATGCTTGTTTTTTAAATCAAAAAGAGAGACGACAGTTTTTGATCAGTTCTGTTTCCGAGAGGGACTGAAAACGAGAACACAGGTTGGAGCTGTAGAAGGCCTAAATGTAATAAAGTCCTAAATGTAATAACAATTTGCCCTAAATGTAATAAACTCTCAAGCTGCCAATTACAGTAATTACTCGAATAAGCCCTGCCCTCAAATAAGCGCCGCATTTGGAGGGGGTGGGAGAGTTAATTAGCGCCGCGGCGCTTATTCGGTTAAATACATACTAAGCGGTATTGCTATGGTATTAAGCTCCGCTCTCAAATAAGCGCCGCATTTTTGGAGAAAAAAGTTAATAAGCGCCGCGGCGCTTATTCGCGTAAATTCGGTACATTTCCTTATGCACTGTGAAACTTAACGTTTACAAATAAATTGCTTGTAAACGGCAAAGTAACAGTATTTTTCTAAAAAAAGCAATATTTAAGCGATAGAAAACTTTTTTCCTGTGTTTGAATAGCCTGACTATGTAACTAACTATGTAATTATTAAGTCAGGAGCCTGTTGCGAATAAGCATTCCAACATCAAAAACAATTCCGTTGATTCCTATATAGCAAGGCTTCTTATTTCAGAAGTTCTTTTCAATTCTTTTTCTATTTCCTCTTCTGCCTTGTTACTGTTGTCATCTTTTCTCAACAGCAACAAACGCAAACGAAGGTAGGGCTTCCTTAAAAACCTATGTAATGACACAAGGTCAACATCATATCTGTATAAAAGTATTAACAGCTCTTTTGATTCTCTTACAGTGAGACTTACAGTGGAGCTCGTTAATGTTGCTTTTCCTTTCATTTCCTTTTTTCCCCTATTTTCCTATTTTTTTCACAAAAAAAACTATATCACAAATGATCAAACATTAGCAACAAAAAACTAACAGTAACTTTTCTGCAATGAGGTGTTTTAGGCAGTCATATTCTTTGTTTGTTTGCTTTAGTTTTCATGTCCCTCCATCTCATCTCTTTTTCCAAAAAATTCTTTTGATGATATACCAACCGTACTCTCCTCTTTCAATGTCCAACCAGGCATTTGCCCATTTTGGGTTGGAAATAATCCGTCGTAGCTCGATCACCAGGCCGCTTGAGGGTCCATATTCCTTGATGATCCTGCGGACACTGATTACATGATATTCTACACCTCGGGGGATATAAACCTTTGGCAACATTCGAGTTAGGTTTTGCGCCACCGCCCTAAATCTTATTTGTAAACGTTAAGTTTCACAGTGCATAAGGAAATGTACGGAATTTACGCGAATTAGCGCCGCGGTGCTTATTAACTTTTTTCTCCAAAAATGCGGCGCTTATTTGAGAGCGGAGCTTAATACCATAGCAATACCGCTTAGTAACGTATTTACTCCAATAAGCGCCGCGGCGCCTCATGCGGCGCTTATTTGAGGGCTGGGCTTATTCGAGTAATTACTGTAGTTGGCAGCTTGAGTTTATTACATTTAGGGCAAATTGTTATTACATTTAGGACTTTATTACATTTAGGACAAAATGTTCTTACATTTAGGACTTTATTACATTTAGGACCGTTTATTACATTTAGGCCTTCTACAGCAGCTTCTGATCGTTTCTATCCAAATGCAAGTGAAGTTTTCGAAGGTTTGCCCTCCCTTTTGCAGCACTGCGGGGACTGTGTCAAAGAAAATACCGATGGGGGGCACGCAGAATTTCTTGCAAGACGTCAAGAGGAATATCAACGCCCTTTGTGTGATTTGTGGGTGATGTATGGTCGAGTTACGGAGTCGGCCCAGGAGAATCAGCTTACTCAGGATTTGGAACTATTAATGCAGGTGATGGACTCCAGATTACAATCACTTGGAAAACTAAACAGTGACTTCCATTATCTAGGCAATAAAGAAGAGTCAAGTACTACGCAGAATTCACAGTTATTAACTCTCGAAAGGTCAGGTAATGCTGAATACCCTGCTCGCAGGGCCGGGTAAATGCTGAAAGACCTGGATATGAAATTAGGCAAGAGCAAATCCATGAACTAAGAGAGGCATTGGGGTTTCGTTGGGTAGATATTGCAAGGATACTAGGAATGTCTCCTAGGACACTTAGTCGGCAGAGGCAAGAATTTGGTATGCCACTCGGTCAACAGCATAAATTTTCCTCCTGGTCCGACACCTGTACAATATTGTGAGAAGCATTCTTTCAGTTACTCCACTGTGAATTCTGCGTAGTACTTGACTCTTCTGTATTGCCTTCATAATGAAAGTCACTGTTTAGTATTGCAAGTGATTGTAATCTGGAGTTCGTTATCTGTATAAAACGTTCCAAATCCTGAGTAAGTTGATTCTGCTGCAGTAGTGCTGGGCCGACTCCGTAACTCGACCATACATCACACGCAAAGTGCGTTGATATTCCTCTAGGACGCCTTGCAAGAAATTCTGCGTGCCCCCCATCGGTGTTTTCGTTCACACAGTCCCCGCTCTGCTGCAAAAGAGAGATCAAACCTTCGAAAAATTCATTTACTTTTGGAATATAGAAACGATTAGAAGCCATCTTGAATTCCAACTTGTGTTCTCGTTTTCAGTCCCTCTCGGAAACAGAACTGATCAAAAAATGTCGTCTCTCTTCTTGATTTAAAAAAAAAAAATCTTGATTTACAAAAAGTATCTCTTGATACATGACAAGAAACACGTGGGAATTGAAATTAAATTCTACAATCTTGACACATTCAAAAAGTAAGTTGATGCTAATTGTATCGATCTTGACAGTGAATTTGTTATTTGAATTATAAAGTTCCATCTTTGATATTTTGTAAATTTTGTAGCATAGTCGCAAGGCATTTGACTGAAGTAGCCTAAATCTGACGTACTGAAGCCATTGCGTCAAAAGACTATATAAGCTGCATTCAGCAAAATTAAGAACAGTTTTCAACTGATTTTTAGAAGGTTGAAACAAAGTTTTGATTATAAAACAATTATACATAGTCTATAGACGGCTGGTGCCGTTTTTATTTTGTTGCAGAATGAATCAACAGAATCCTGTTCCTCCAACAAGGGTTTATCCCACATGCAATCAGCGACGAATAGTTATAATTTTCTTCACGATAATGTTTTTGCTCGTTGGTTTTGTCTTGACCTCTGTTGGCGTTTGGGCGAAACCTTTCTGGGGCCCTGAAGATGACCCACGATGCAGCTTTTGTAAAGAGGAAAGGATTGCGATGGAGCAAAGGCTAAAGAATTGTCGCATCGCTGGACCGATTTTCTTAGCAATCGGCGTTTTTTTGTGGATGACTACCATTATAGTGTATACTCGCACCCCGAGAAAGGACCAGATGTTGGACAAGTTATAACCATACCGATAAAGTTCTGTAATTTGTTGCCGCGGCCCTAACTGAAATATACCATGGTGCTGGTTACTCATAATCACTCCGTCTTCATTTAGTAATACTATATTAGCCCCTGAAAGAGTCGTGTTGGAGCTCATACGTTACTTAATGAGAACTAGATCGAGAGACAATTTAAAACTGTATAGAGTCAGTATATCAACATTGTTAAGAACACAGCTACCTTGAAGATCTGAATGAAAGTGATCTTTGAACTAATTTATCTATTCAACAATGAATGGATAGTGACCCCGCGCACGTGACTGAAATCAACGCAAGGCAAAGTGGACTAACCTCTAGTGAAAACGATTATTTAGTTGAGCCAAAACAATGTATAGTTCATGAAATTGTTTAACATTCTCCAAAAATGCCACAATTCGATTTTCATTTTACTGCTTTATTGCAACATCGAAGGAATCGGCCCCTGAAGTGCACAGCCATAAAAAAAAGAAACAAATAAGTAAAGGAAAAACACAGTTAAACCCTGATTATGTAAATTCCGCAGAAATCTTTATGTATTGTTCTCTCTCCCGGTACTGAAGTTGTAGTAGTTGACGTGCCGAAGTACATTGTGCATGATGAAGTTCCGAAAACTGTTATTCCTCCTTTTATACAACTACATAAGAAATTTTAGCAATTTGATTGGCTTAGAGCAGTGGTATTTCAGCTTAATTTGAAATACCTACATGTGAAAATTACAAACCTTTTGAGCGTTGTAGTATAAACAATAATAGCAAGATTTGTACGTGATATTTGGCATAAATACCACTTGTGATATATGCACTTATATGTAAAAGAGTTCCTCATAAAATTAAGATTAAATTTGGGAACGCAAAGATTAAGACCATTTCCTCTTAAATTGTGAGACGTTTCTCTTATGATAAAAAAGTCTCTAATGTATTTCGGCCCTATATTCCTAATGCATTTAAATAATAGGATCAGAGATTGCTGGTTTTTCCTACACTCTAAAGTGTCCAACTTACATATATTCAAGAGTTAAAAAAGAAAAAAATGAATATAATTATTTATCGGCTGTTTCGGGTAAAAAAATTTCCCTTGTTGAAGTTTTATTTCCTTTTCCCAGGAAATGGCAAGGACCTCAAAACAAGTTCAAATCAAAAGAAAACAACAACAACAACAATAACAACAAAAACACGACAGAACAAGTTTTTTGTCAAGATGCTGTGACACAGACTTTATGCAGACGGGGAACCTTTTCTCTTTTTTTGAATACTTCAGTGGTGCGGAAATAGGGAGCAAAAGTGTTTTTGAGCGACGCGCAACAACCGGAAGTGGAAGTACCTTTTTTCCTTTCAATATACCTCCACGCTAACAAATTTGTCTTTACTAAGTGTCTTTACTCTCATCATGAGAAACAGTCTCCGCTTCCGGTTGAGTGCGATGTTCAAACACTCGGCTTTGTTCCAGGCTTTGTTTCAGCTCCCCATTGTGACCTAAACGTAACCAGAGTTGAGATAGAATTCTACCAAAAGAATCAAGCCGAATTTCATTTTGAGGCGCGCTGGACAACCCGCAGTGGGTGCTGGGTGGCTGGAAGTGGTCATCTTGTTTTGAAAAGGAAAACCACCGAAGAGGAATGACGTAGCTGCGTCATAGCAAGTCATAGCATAGAAAGCTTTATTAAGTAACCTTAAGCCGACTAGAACAAGTTTTTAACTAGATATGATTATTACGACTTAAACTGTTTGTTGTAGCGAGATGACTCGACAGAGTCGTGCTTTCCCGGGAGTTTTTTTTGACCAAAGATACAACAGACAGTCAGGACTATGTAGCGGCCCCGATTTCTGCAAGAAATTTGCTCTCCGATCTCTTCCCTTCACCATTATGCTTTTGCTCGTTGGTTTTATCTTGACCATGGTTGCAAATTCTGAGAAATTTTTCTGGGGCCCTGAAGATGACTGGTGTTGTAAGGAAGAGAGGCTTAAGTCGGAGCGAAATATAAAGAATCGTCAAATCATTGGGCAAATTATCTTGGCGATCAGCGGTTTATCTTTAATTATTACCATAGCGTACATCCAGAGAAAGAACAATGCCGGACAAGGTATAACCAGACCGAACACTGGTCAAGCAGCGGGTTCAACAACTCAGGAAGGATCGGGCAATGTGACGACCACCACTCAATATCCTAGCCCCAATGGCTTTGAACAGCCCGCGTATGGGCAGACACCCGAGTATCCCTCGGGATCAGGACCTTATACTTCAACACCCGCTGAATATTCGTCTTTTCCGACGGGTCCAGCTTATCCTCCATCGACTCAGTACCCCTATAATTCTTCGCAAAGTGGTCCACAGGCACTATCTCCAACAGAGATAAATCCACCCCCATCGTATGAAAGTATTGTTGGCCACAGTAACTGTGCTCCAAGTGCTCCCCCAGAGACGCAAGTTTATTAAAAAGAGATGAAATAATGAACCGTCAGATTTTACCGCTTGTTTTCCTTACGTTGTAGTGATAAATATAGATATATAGATTTCAAATGATGTTGTCATTGTCTCTAGTTGCATACGGCTATCTCGAGAAAGGTTGTTGGAAAAAATGAGCACGCGACAATCCCGAAATGTAAAACGGGATATGATCAATACACGGTGCCTGACACTATAGTTAGCTGTCGAACCTACTTTTGTTGCTTTCATTTATCATTCGCAAACGTACTTCCATGGCCTCTCGTGCCATTCTTTCAAATTTCTCTGTGAAATANTCATTGTCTCTAGTTGCATACGGCTATCTCGAGAAAGGTTGTTGGAAAAAATGAGCACGCGACAATCCCGAAATGTAAAACGGGATATGATCAATACACGGTGCCTGACACTATAGTTAGCTGTCGAACCTACTTTTGTTGCTTTCATTTATCATTCGCAAACGTACTTCCATGGCCTCTCGTGCCATTCTTTCAAATTTCTCTGTGAAATAGTGAACCCAAAAACTATCCACTATTATAATTGATATTTGGAATAAAGACCACTTGTGATATTTCAAAATTGTCTCAAATTTCACTCGCCTAACGGCTCTTGAAATTTACGTATAACAATTTTGAAATACCACTCGTGGTATTTATGCCAAATATCACTACAAATCATGCTATTACCTATACCAATTCTATCCGCACCATAAGATTGGGAGACATGTACTTGAGCTAGAATATGGATCAGTTCCGGTGTTAGCAGGAAATGAAATATCGGCTGCTAATCTGTTTACCACAAAAAGAAAAGGCATTTCAAGCATTGCCTTTTAGCTGCTTCTGAAAGTTCACATGCTGCAAATTTAATGAAATACAAATATCTCCAAAAGAGGACATTAAAGTCACTTCTCTGTTTTCAATTATTAAGGCAAAATACCAGATACAGCAATACAGTACCGAGAAAGAAAAAATTGAATATAATTATTTATCGGTTGTTTCGGGTCAAAAAATTTCCCTTGTTTGAAGTTTAATTTCCTTTTCCCAGGGAATGGCAAGGACCTCAAAACAAGTTCAAATCAAAAGTAAACAACAACAACAAAAAAAACACCACAGAACATGTATTTTGTCAAGATGCTCTGACACAGAGTTTATGCAGACAAGGAACCAATTTTTTTTTGAATGCTTCAGTGGGGCGGAAATAGGGAGCAAAAGTGGTTTTGAGTGACGCGCAACAACCGGAAGTGGAAGTACCTTTTTTCCTTTCAATATACCTCCACGCTAACAAATCTGTCTTTACTAAGTGTCTTTACTCTCATCATGTGACACGATTTGCCTGAAAATTTGGGCAAAACCACTGCCCAAGAATAAAACAGTCTCCGCTTCCGGTTGGGTGCATCGCTCAAACATTCGGCTTTGTTCCAGGCTTTGCTTCAGCTCCCTTTTGTGGCCTAAACGGAACCAGAAAGAATTTCATTTTGAGGCGCGCGGGACAACCCGCAGTTGGTTATTGGTGGCTGGAGGTAGTCATCTTGTTTTGAAAAGGAAAACCACCGAAGAGTAATGACGTAGTTGCGTCTTAGCAAGTCATAGCATAGAAAGGTTTGTTAAGTAACCTTAAGCCGACTAGAAGACGTTTTTTACTAGAAGTGATTATTACGACTTGCACCGTTTGTTGTAGCAATATGAATCGACAGAATCGTGCTTTCCCGACAGGGGTTTATATTAGCCAAAGATACAACAGACAGTCAGGACTATGTAGCGGCCCCGATTTCTGCAAGAAATTTGTTATCCAATCTCTTCCCTTCACCATTTTTCTTTTGATCGGTGCTTTTATCTTCACCATGCATTTCAGTTCTCAGGAATCCAAAATTATCTTGGCGATCATCGGTTTCATCAATTTATGTTTAATTGTTACCACAGCGTACATTTGCATCCAGAGAAAGAACAATGCCAGACAAGGTATAACCAGACCGAACACTGGTCAAGCAGCGGGTTCAACAACTCAAGGAGGATCGGGCAATGTGACGACCACCACTCAATATCCTAGCCCCAGTGGCTTTCAACAGCCCGCGTATGGGCAAACACCCGAGTATCCCTCGGAATCACGACCTTATACTTCAACGCCCGCTGAATATTCGTCTTTTCCGACGGGTCCAGCTTATCCTCCATCGACTCAGTACCCCTATAATTCTTCACAGAATGGTCCACAGGCACTATCTCCAACAGAGCTGCCTCCCCCCCCATCGTATGAAAGTATTGTTGGCCAAAGTAACTCTGCTCCAAGTGCTCCCCCGGATACGCAAGTTTGTTAAAAAGAGATGAAAGAATGAACGGTCAGATTTTACCGCTTAGTTTCCTTACGTTGTAGTGATAAATATAGATATTTAGATTTCAAATGATCTTGTCATTGTCTGTAGCTATATACAATACGGCTATCTAGAGAAAGTTTGTTGTAAAAATGAGCATGATCAATGCACGGTCCCTGACACTATAGCTAGCTGTCGAACCTACTTTTGTTCAGGGGCACCCAACGTCAGTTTTCGGAAAATATCTGTTCGGAAGACGATTTGAGACCTTGAATTTTCGGAACATTTTTTGTAAAATTTCTTGCTTGCCTACCTCTCCTAGGATTTTCGAACATTTAAAAAATGGTATAATTGCCCATTTTTAACGGATTTTTACCCTAAAAAGGTCACCTAGAATTTTCGGGAGTCTTTTTCTGGCTGAAACTTTCGAAAAGGTAAGTTTTGATCCGTACAATTTTCGGATCACCATACCTTCTGCTGGGAAATCCGAACAGATGAAAAATTTTTAGGGGATAAAAATATGCCTATATCTACCGTTTAAATACTAAAGTACGTTTAACAATGCTATGTTTAAGTGATTTTGAACTATATTCTCGTTGGGTGCCCCTGTTTTTTTGCTTTAATTTACCACTCGCAAACGTAGATCCATGGCCTCTCGTGCCATTTTTTCAAATTTCTCTGAAGAACAGTGAACTCAAAAACCATCCACAATGATACCTTTCGGGATTGTCAAGTACCCTTTTCCCGAAAGCGTTTCTCGAAATAGCCGTATACGCATAAACGCATCTGATGGCCGAGTACGTATCAATGAACATCTCCGCGTGATCGTGACTTGTTGCACGAAAGTTAAAACGAGGGCCAATAAAAAAATTGAAGGGGGAAGGGGAGGGGAGGAAGGTGACACTCTTCGCTCTTGATAAAGTCGTCATAGACAGTAACACCTGTTTTTAGCGATTGAGCGGTCACTGTTTAGTTTAAGATACAACCTATACCTCTATGTGCTAATGTGGAGGACGGATATGATTTCAGGCCATAGATTTCAGGCCATAGTGCTTATTCGAGGCTGGGCGCTTATTAACTTTTTCTGCCGTTAGGTTGGGCGCTTACTCGGATAAAAATATGGTATGTGGAGGGGCTTAAATAACATACTTTGTCTTAAGATACCTGACCACATTTTTTATTGGAAGGGTAATTATAAAATCACCCGTCTGTGAAGTTTATTCAACCCTCCGAATTAGGAAACACTTACAAGTTTAGTTTAGTTTCTTTGGTAGAACAATTAATTAGGACTGGAATAATTTAAGTGATTCTGTGATTGAATTTGAATCATATAATGGCTTCAAACGAGCCGTGAGTAATTTAGTCATCTTATTTGTTATAACAAGAGTATAGATGATGGTTTTTATTATCATTTATAACTATTTAATTTATTTATGATATATTTATAAGTAACTTAACTATTTAAATGCAGCATTAAATGGTATCACGTGTATTATTAAAATACTGATGCAGTTTTTCGTTGCTTTTCTTTATTTCAAGACTGTAAGCTCCTGCTGACCATATCTATGTAATGGGAAACGTTATAGATTTTAATTGTAGATGTATAGATTTAGAAAATGAATTAGGACGAGTGCGATTTCTTTTTCATTTAAAATAGCCTGCGAGAACATCAGTTTCTCCTCGCTCCTCGCCGCTGGGGACGTTTCACGTTTCACGAGGACGTTCCTCCGCGCGAAACGTCCCAAGTGGCGAAGAGCGAGGAGAAACGGATGTTTTCGTAGGCTACATTCAAAACAAATCTACATGAAATTGTTCAACATTCATTCTCCATTGTTTTATTTCAACATCACAAGGAATCGGCTCCGGATGATCATGCACCGCCATAAAAAAAAGAAAAGAAAAAGAAAAAGAAACACAAAAGGAAGTAAAAATTGAACCACACCGTATACCGCAGAAGTCTTAATGAATTCTCTCTCCCGGCACTGAAAAGAAGTTGACGTGCAGAATTGCATTGCGCATGATGAAATTCCTCAAACTTATTCCTCCTTACCACAAGAGAGCTGACCTGTATTTGTGGTAGAATATGGATTTTCCGCCGGGTGTTTTCAGTAAATTGAAATATTCCTTCGGTAATATAACGAACCTGTATATAAAAAAGCCCTGAACTGTACCTTATCAATCACTTTATTGTATAATTATTTACTTATCCATCATGCTATCTATTTATCTCATTTTTAGTTTATCATTAACCTCTCATGTAAATTTAAATTCAAATTTTAGGAGCCCTATCGCCAGCCTTACATTCAGTTTTGTTTTAATTCCCAATTCAAATGACGTCTGGCATTAGCCTCTCTACATTAGAGATCCGACAAGAAAGAACCAGTCGGTTTTATTTACGCGTTGAGTGAACCTCTGCATTCAACGGTCTTTTAAAGTCCTTAGTACAGTCGGTATAACGAACGATTTTCTTTACCCCAGTAATAGCAGTGATAGTAAAATATATGAAAAATGACCTCGATATAACGAAACCACGTTATAGCGAACAAATTTAGCCAGTTTCTTGGGCCTTCGTTGTATCGAGGTTCCGCTGTATACAGCTATTTCTAGAAAGGTTGTCGAAAAAACTGTGCACGCGACAATCCCGAAAGGTAATATGGGATATGATCAATACACTTGTTCCTGACGCTGTAGCTGTCGAACCTACTTTTAGTGCTTTCCTTTAGCACTTGCAAACATACGTCCATGGCCTCTCGTGCCATTCTTTGAAATTGGTTTGAAAAACAGTGAACTGAAAACCACCCACAATACCTTTCGGGATTGTCGCGTGCGGCTTTTTCCGACAACCTTTCTCGAACTAGCTGTATATTTCAGAGATCATTGTCACCCGGTAAAGCTGGGAATGCATAAGGCCGACACCTTGTTTAGCTGCTTTACAACCCCCAAAATGATCCCCAACCCTTAAATGATCCCCAAATTGACCCTGAAATGATCCCCATTTCTCTTCACGTCCGCCCCGAAATGATCCCCAATTAATTTTAGGAATGGAATGATACCCTGGAACTATGGATCGTGCAAAATGCACAACATCATAACTTAAGTTTCACTAACACAGTCTTCACTTGCCCACATTCTTTAATGACATTAATTTGGGATTACGCTTTGAACTGGATTAGACGAACACACAAAGTCTAGTATATTTTCAGTAACAGCATGAACTGCAACTGATAACATCAAGAAACATAACATTTATTACTATTACTTAGGTGATTATAGCCCAGGTTATAGAGAAAACTGCCTGGATGTTAAATTCTAAAAATGATGTTAAAACTACATACCTTGGATATTGTGTAAATAGACGGAATTTTGTACTAGTACCCAGTTCCCTTATCAAGTGTTTTAACACTTTTTAAAATTTTAAAATGATGTTGAAGATGCAAAAGTAGACATAAAGGCGATTAGATGACAAAAGCGCTAAAAAATCACATACACTGTTGTGAAATGTTGAATGCGATTCAAGAACGCAAACGCTGCAACAGACTTGTAATAATTCCGTGACGGAATACCAATCCATTCCAAGAATTAATTGGGGATCATTTCGGGGTCGACGTGAAGAGAAATGGGGATCATTTCGGTGTCGATTTGGGGATCATTTCAGGGTTGGGGGTCATTGCGGGGTCGGGATCATTTCGGGGGCTGTACAGCTTCTCTTGTTGTTTTCAGAGTTTGAGCCATGGTTCTTACCCAGGTTTCCTACTGAGCGTTTTCCCAACTGACTTCTTTTTCCCGATTGGTTCTTTCTGGCCTCTCCGATCCCACGGTAGGTTCTTTGAAAACTAAAGCTAAGCTCTTCTTTAGGATATGTTTCGCATACTTAGCTGTAATTAAAAGTTCTGTTAATATATCAGGCCCGTAGGGAGGGGGGTAAGACGGGTGCGCTCACACCCCCCTTCTCTCCACAGGCCTGGCACACTACTGGAAGATCATGATGATCAGCAGGCCATAGAGAAGAAAACGGGTTCTCAAATGCTCAAAAATTGTAAAATAAAGTTGTCCCTTTGACACAAAAAAATCAGTTTTGAAGTTAAAAAAAGTGAAATCAATGTTTTACAAAACGCTCGTAATGCAGTCTCAGCTAGACAACCCAATTTCCCCCCTAGATACTTGTACCTCCGGCCTTGTTTGGTCCGTCGCCTCGTTGGATCGCACCCTCCGGTAAAAAAAAAAAAAAAAGCTGGCTACGGTCCTGTACATAAGTTGCATCAGGAGCCCATGACCCTGATATTGCCAATGACATGGCCACGAGTTCCTGGCTGCCGTCACTGATGATTGATACTACAAGGAGGGAGTAGGGGCAGAGGGCAGAGGATATGTTTTTATAGGCATTATTATTATACCCGTTTTTTTTTTAAAAACCGGGCTACTAAAAAATGTTAGTCTCTCGCACTGATTGTTAATTTGATGGCCCTTGTTACTTGAAAAGTAAAATCTCACCTCAAAAAGAAATTATTGAATACATGAGCTTCCATTTGATAGAATCGTCTGTCTTGAAAGTAACAAAAGTGAAGTTTTCCTCATTAATCTGGAAAATAAGGCATTTTAAGAAGCAATTTTTAGTGTTCAACAACATGACACTTAGTTTGACGGAAGCC